TCTCATTGGTTCCTTGTATTTCCTCTATCTGTGTACCCATCCCTTGTTTTAAACTTAGATTGTAAGTTCCTTGAGGCAGGAATAATGTCCTTTCTGTGCATGACGCTTCATCCATAGCACTACAGGAACACACATAATTATAATAAGCTTTTATGTTCATTAAATTAAATCCAGGGAAAGCTCCCACCAGTTTCCTGATCAGCTCTGCTGTTAAAATCAATTAAACCAGTGGCTCTCAACCTTTTTAGACTTGAGGCATCCCTCAGAAAATGCCAGCTCTTGTTTTCACTCCTTTTTTGACTATGGAAAAATACTGGAACAATTCTTCTGTTGCAAAGAACTCAAAGACAACAGTGGCCAATTAATGATGCTATGGATTCCTATTTGAAATCTTCAGGTTTATCTTGTGAATTATGTTTAGGCGTTTGCACATCTGACTGTACTAATATTGCATGCCACCATCATGGCTGAGATCCTTTTAAAGGTGGCTGAGAACTACTGAATAAGACTGAGGCTTCACATTAGTTTAGAAAGCTATTTTTTGGAGCTTCTCCATGGCCTCATGTTTCGTCTCCCTTTCTCTCTTCTCCATGGAGACCTACTTGCTGAAAAGTGCTGATCCACTAATTAGGCTGCCTGTGTTCGAAGGTCTCTATTAAAATCTCTCACTAGTAACTTTCTCACACTTTTGATTCTGACCCTTTTTCTACCCAGGAACAAATGCACAACGCACTCTCCCCTGGAGCCCAATCCATTTTTTGTGTTGATGCAATGTGTTTGTGGCCTGCTGCTTGTCCTAAAATAACCTCTCACAGTGTCTGTGTACAGTCACATTCTGTTACTTAGTGAGAGAGGGTATATTTTTTTTAGCCACATGTTGATGAGATGTACTGCTATAAACAGAGAATGCAGATAGAGCCTCTGCGAGACTGAGCACGTAAATACACAGGAACACATTCTGCACCAGAGGAGATGAGTGGTTTCCCAATAATAATGTTAAGGTAGATTTAAGGTAGGAATGTCAAACTCAACTGGGGCCAGATCTGAATTGTAGGGACTCCTCCTGGGCTGGATACACAGACCCAACAGCAGGTAAGGGGGAAGAGGCTCTGCATTGCAGTGGTGGCATGGGTACAGGGGCCTACTGCTAATAGCTATGTCCTTTAGGGTCCAGGGACCCTGAATTCAGTGACCAGGTTTTCAAATGACAGTATTGCTACATCCTACAGGAGTACTCTAATTCCTGAGATAGTGGCTATTTTAAGTGGGGGGAGGGGCTTTCCAAATCTCTTCTGCTGAAGCAGCTTCTTCTCATGTAAATAATTAAATAGTGTTGGGCCAGAGAGAGACTGATTTCACACTCGAGCAACTGGACTTTCATGTGGAATGTGGGAGACATTTTAGCCCAGGAGATACTGAGTATGTCTCATAGATTTCAGGTTTAAACACCTGGCTACAAAAGTCAGTGATTTCCTTTCTAGACCCATCGATATGTAATAGACAGATGACACACAACTCTGTAACAGTGCTTCTGTTGCCTTGGGTTTAGGGCATTTGTCTGTTCTGCAGCCACTGGATTGTTGGCTGGTCTGGGGCAAGTCTCTCTGTCTCGCTCTGTCTCTCTTTATGTAAACCACACATCCCAGACAGAGAATAAGGAACAATTTTTCCTAGGTCGAGACCAAGACTTTTGTGTCTCTATGAAAAACGTTGGTTTTGACAAATTTAGCATTTGCTGACCAAAGGAATTAAAAGTTTTGATTAAAAGAAATTCCTTGCCAGCTCTAGTTGTGGCATTCCTTATAGATGGTGTTTAGTAGCAAAACTTACTTAAGGATGCAAACATTATGGGCACTCAGAACTGTATCCATCAGCAGTAACTCCACTGAAATTAGTGCAATTATATCCGTGTGAAAGAGATTTAAATGAAATCTGAAGCAGGCCCTAAGTGCATATATTACGCAAGGGAGTGTGTTCTGCTGCTGTCTAGCAAACAACATGATTAATTCCACTGCAGTGTGTCACAACACCCTGTACTGTCCTAGCCTCTAGATATAGAGAAGTTCAAGGAGATGATTCTGTGAAGTGCGCTATGAGTTTAACGCTCACATTTTCATACAAAGTTTCATGACGGCTTCCTGCTGCACAAGTTGATTCCAACTGTCCATCTTAGCAGTTAGTCTGTGTCTTTGTATGTTTTTAGGGCTCTGTAGACAGTGAAAAGAGAGACCAACTCATTTTTAAATGAAAACTGATATTTTTTTGGTGGAGTGAGAAGGAAGCAGCAACTAACAAAGACACTCATGTGAGCCATTTCTAGCTCATCAACACAAAATTAAGAACATCTCCTTCTCAATGTTTTCCCAGAACAATCTTCTGGGGAAGCTCTCTATCATTTGGTCCAGAGAAAGCCAGAAGAGGAGGATGGGAATTGGCAATGGAACAGATGAAGGTGATATAATGTGATAGTTATATGCTTTGCTTTACAAGTGGGTTTTACTGTCAGTGTTGGTAATTCTTGATGATAGTTTCCTCTTGGCATGGAAAAACTACTCCTGAAGAAGCTGCAATGTCCCATATAGTTAGAAAGACCAATGCTAATTCCAGTTTTAACTGGTATTTTGTTTTCTGAAGGAAGCTTTGCTTAAACTAACTCAAGCGCACAGCTAGACTACTGACTGAAATTCAAGCTTCCTTTCTATATAGGTATATACAATATGTGCATATTTGTTGGCTTGTTACAGAGAAAAGCCATAGGTAGTAGCCATGCATCTGGATCAGCTCCAATCAAGTTTGCACAAGGCTTGGAGATCTGGCCTCTCGTTTCACTCTTTGACCTGACTGAGATTTTCCTCTGCTTTCTGGAATGCAGCAGTGAGCTACCTTAGTGCCTTCTGGACTCCTATATGTTACTGCAGCAGTGGAATAGACTGGAACTGGGTGTATTCTTTGTCTCAGGTTCAATAGACATAAATGATTTGTTTTCCACTATCTCAGCTCAGGCGTAGTTTAATGTGGCCACAGGAGACTTGTTTAAATGCAGCTTAATGCTTTTAAAACTCTGTTAATCTTTTTGTTGTAGTCATAGGCGGCGGAAGGGGGAGGCTAACCGGGGTCAGCCCCCTCAAATGAAGGCAGGTAGGGCTCCAGGGCAGACCGGCCACAGGCTGCTGCAGCAGTGGGGGAGGGGCACATACATACATACATATCCTGCACAGCCAGGATCACAACCAGCTGAGCAGTCAAGTAAGTTTCTTTCTGTCTTCTTTACGTTGGCTTTGAGTGGGGGGAGCAGATCAAGACCCCCACAGTGCAAGAGGCAGTGGGGTAGGGGCAGGGGCAAATCATTCGCCCCTGCTCTGCTCCCTGCTGCACTGTGGGAATTGCCCTCCTGTTGGACCCGGACTTATAGTTTCATAGTTTCATAGTTGGTAGGGTCGGAAGGGACCTGAGCAGATCATCACGTCTGACCCCCTGCCATGGCAGGAAAAAGTACTGGGGTCAAGCAACCCCAGCAAGGTGTTTGTCTAGCCTCCTCTTAAAGACCCCCAGGGTACGAGCCAGCACCACTTCCCTTGGAAGTTGGTTCCAGATCCTAGCAGCCCTGACTGTGAAGTAACACCTCCTGATGTCTAGTCTGAATCTACCCTCTGCCAGCTTGTGACCGTTATTTCTAGTCACTCCTGGTAGTGCTCGGGGGAACAGGGACTCCCCCAGTGCCTGCTGGTCCCCTCTGACTAGTTTGTAACATGCCACTAGATCCCCCCTCAGCCTTCTCTTGTGGAGGCTGAACAGGTTCAGGTCCCTTAGCCTCTCCTCATAGGGCCTGCCCTGCTGGCCCCTGTTCATGTGAGTGGCCCTTCTCTGGACCCACTCCAAGTTGTTCACATCCCTTCTGAAGTGCGGCGCCCAGAACTGGACACAGTACTCCAACTGCAGCCTGACCAGTGCCGCATAGAGGGGGAGGATCACCTCCTTGGACCTGCTCAAGATGCATCTGCGGATGCATGACAAGGTGTGATTGGCTTTCCTGACCGCGTCCCCACACTGCCGGCCCATATTCATTTTGGCATCAGTAATGATTCCAAGATCCTTTTCTGCCTCTGCACTGACGAGAAGGAAGTTCCCTAGCCTGTAGGTATGCTGCTGGTTCTTCCTCCCCAGGTGCAGCACCTTGCACTTGTCAGTGTTGAAACCCATCCTGTTCTCATCCGCTCACCCCTGTAACCTGTCTAGGTCCAATTGCAGCCTCTTCCTCCCTGCTAGCGTGCCCACATCCCCCCACATCTTATTGTCATCAGCAAATTTGAACAGGGTGCTTTTTACCCCCTTGTCCAAGTCACTGATGAAGATGTTGAACAGTGCGGGTCCGAAGACCGAGCCCTGAGGAACCCCACTTCCCACATCCCTCCAGGTGGAAAATGACCCATCCACCACGACTCTCTGGGTGCAGCCCTCCAGCCAATTAGTGACCCATTTGACTGTGTAGGTGTTGATGCCACAGTCCCCTAGTTTTTTAATGAGAATGGGGTGGGAGACAGGGTTAAAGGCCTTCCTAAAGTCCAGAAAGACTATGTCCATGGCTACCCCTGCATCTAAGGATTTTGTGACCTGGTCATAGAAGGCCACCAGGTTGGTCTGACAGGACCTGCCTCTAATGAACCCATGTTGATTGCCCCTAAGCATAACCTCCCCTGCTGGCCCCTCGTGGACATGCGCCAGTATAATTCTCTCAAAAAGCTTACCCAGAATCGAGGTAAGACTAACTGGTCTATAGTTATAGACTTAATGACTTACTTAGTGCCTGATCAAGGTCACCTAATTAGTGGCTGACTCTTCAGCCTGGTATCCAAATGGGGTGGGTTTTAGCCCCCAGTGCTGCTAACGAGTTAATCCAGGTATATCTATTCATCGCCCAATTAACCCAGCAATGGATTGGGGCTTAACTAATAAAGACAATCACTCCAAAATATAACTGACATGAATAAATGGTTTATTAAGAACACAGTTGACTGGTAGGGGAGGCATGGTGGGGCAGGGGCGTGTGCCTCCCCTGAGATTGGCCCCCAACTTGGCACTGCTCCGGATGGGGCAGTTTTTTTGCTGGGCGTGTTGGGTGGGGGAGCACTAAGCCATGACACAGAAGTATAGGAGTGGATATGGGGCTTCTGGCCTGTCCCTGGGCCCACCCACAAATTGTGCACCCCCAGACTCAGGAGGCACCAGTCACCTCTGATTAAAAAGAAATAACACAGGTAAGTAACCACACACACACACTACTAATTGGTAACCAGTTCTACCCAAAACTATCCTATAACCTCCCCCCTCCACCTCTCTCTCTCTCTCTGTATATATATAAATAAATTTTAAAAAACATATATATAAAAATTCTATACTAATTTCCTAGTTTAACAGAATTAATTCCAATTAGGTACAAAGCTTTATTAGGGAAAGGGAACACTCAGGACAGATTTTATTTAACTTGTCTCTGGTCCTGGTCCGTGCCTTAGATGATCACTCTGGGTCTCCACTGGCTGAGCCAGGAATACGGCACCTGGTATGGGAGGAGGGAAGATCGGGTAATACTCACCCCAGGAAGTAAATGGCTGCTCTTTATGTGTCAAGCGATGGCCCTTTCCCCTCCCCCACCCCTTTTCCCCGCAGGTTTTCCTGTGGAGGCGGGTACATGAAAGCCCTTTCCCCTCTTTTTTTTTCCCCCTCCACCTATGGTTGTAGTCCAAGGCTCATCTGCCCTTGCTCTGCTTCTGCTCTCTCTCCTGCAAGGGGACCAAGAATAGGGCCTTGGATTGTACTGTGCCAGACACATTCTTTTCTAGGGGCATTGCTTGGGCCCACGTCTGCTATTGCAGTGATACACATAGCCAGTTTGTGGTACGGAATCTATCCCCACCTTGTAGATTTATGACCCTAGGTCAACAAAGTTGAAAAGATATCTGTCTTAGAAGTGAGGGGTCAAGTAGTCTCATTCTTGAGGTGGCTAATATAAAAAGGGACATAAATAAACAAATAGTTAAAGTTGCATACAACTGAAAATGTGGCTGTTTTTTCTTAATATTTGCAGAAATGTTCAG